CCAGAGCCAGGACACGTGTGGGAACTCATTTGTTTCTCCAGCAGAGCAAGGGACTTTCCCCGGAGCAGAGCGGGACACCCAGCCCAGTTCACCAGTTCTCACCCCATCTACAGGGGGCACCTACCCCCACAAAACATTTAGAAATTTACAGCCTGGCAGTAGGGAGACAACATTCAACATGTGATCTGTTTTTTCCACAAAAGACCCTGAAACTCATCGATTAGAACAGTCCACGGTAATACTCAATATCCTTGAATCTAACAACGACTGTGTTGTTTGTTTCTTCTTAGGGATATATTTAAGGAACTAATTTTTTTTACAGACACCTCATACGTAACTTCACAATCAATATTTAGATACCTATCCTCCAACCCGCCTCAGGCACGGAACTGCTCCATGCTTGTACTGGAACGTTCCTTCATTCCTTTTTTTTTTAATCATCATAGAACAGACTACCTAGTTCCAACCCCCCTGCCATGGGCAGGGACACCATCAACAAGATCAGGTCACTCAAAGCCCCATTTTGGTGAATTTGGATATCATCTACTTTGCCTATGGAGGAAACAAAGTATTCAACAATGAATACACACTAATATATTAAAATATTTAGATATACTAAATATATTAAGTTAAAAATATTTATGGTATAAAATTCCATTTCTTGAAATAAGATCTTTAAGGTATTTGATTCTATTAGTCTTTAAACTTTGAGATTTACCATTCATGATCCATTGAAAGATCTTTATATACTGAAGCTTTTTTTTTTTTTAAGATTGGCTGTTAATGCAGCGTACCCACCAAAATCACCTGCAAAAAATATGTGAAGTACAAGAAAAGCAAAAGCCACTGAGCCATGGAGATGAACTGAGTTCGAAACAATGAACTCTTTCTATACAAGCTCTAGGTTGATTAGCTGGGAAGCGTGAAGGGCTGAATTAACTCTCTCCCTGTGTTTACAGATTTAAATCTCCAGTTTCTGTGAAGTTATTAAACCATTAGCTTGCGCCCTACAGCCAAATCACTGTGGCCCTTTTGAGGTGCTTGGAATGACCCCTACCTTGCAACTGGAAAAGAAATGAAGTTGGCAACGAAGTCGGCAACGACCGCAGCTAAAAGGAAGACTTGAACTACAGGTCCAAACCAAGGAGACTACCCTCATAGTAATATCAGTGAGAGCTGGAACAGAAGGAACGTATCCAGAATTAACTGCATTATGACTTTAACTCTGAGATACTGTTAAGGAGGACAGCAGACTACTAACTCCTGTATGTACCACTACACGCATCTCTCGGCTAATTCACCTAACCACACAAAGGCTAAATAAAGCTATTCTACATCGTTCCGCAACTCGAACACACACATAGCAGGACATCTGGCTAAAACACCTGAAGTGCAATCACAACTATGTTCTGGAATTGGGCCAAAGGCTTGTGAAGAGCAGCGAGCTGTGAAACACCATTTCTCCCTCAGCTTTATTTGCTTCCTAACACAAAACACCTGGGAGCAGCAGTCAGCCACAGAGACCTAGATCTCTTGACTCAGTTCAAGGTATGGACTCTGGGAGTGAAAACTCATGAGAATTTAAGGCACAGAGTGATAACTGTGATAAAAATATTCCTATACATTCCATTAACAAATACAGATTGGTGTAAACCAGAAAGTATATATCCAGTTTAAAGAAGAACTTCCTCTCTTAAGGGTACCTCTTGCCTCTAATAGCAGAGAAGTTGCCACTGTTAAAAGTCAGAGTGGAAATTTCAATGATCTGGTTTACAGCACAGCTTTAGGGAATAACATAGCAGCATAACTGAGCTGGAAAACTAAGCAGCCAGACATGGGGGTGGGAGAGACAGAAATAGCAATATTGCATTTTTCACTTTTGAGAGTGGCAAACCACTGAACCTACCTACATTGCATTTTCTGGAGTTAGCTGTTCCAAACAAACAATGTCTTATGGTGTTGAGTGACTTGCTGCAAAATTAAGCTCCAATTTATGTGTGACCAGTTATGTGTGAGAAATCGGTATCATCGTCAGTGTAAGAGGTGGCACAAAAGCCTCTGATCTTCCCCAGCACTGCATATGCAAATAGAAACCCCATCAGGAACCATAACTTCTGTTCTGTGGAAAATTGTAATGTGGGTGGGAAGGGAGACAGCAAGAAGTAAAAATATTTTTCTCATGAAAAAGTGACCTTTGAGAAGGAATTCTACAAAAAGGTGTCATTAAGAGACTTTCTGAGAACTATCATCTTTGACACTTCATTGATTTATTTCATTTTGACTTGCCATACCAAAATGCTGTAAAAAATCTGAATCAAAATGCAGCTAGCCAGCAATCACATATTTGAAACTGTTTTGACTTTGCTTATATAAGCCTCAGAAGATTCAGAGAATCATTTGGTTAGAAAAGACCTTTAAGATCATCAAGTCCAACTGTACCTCTCCACTACTAAACCATGTCCCTAAGCACCTTGTCTGCCTGTCTTTTAAATACCTCCAGGGATGGGGACTCAATCACTTGCCTGGGCAGCCTGTCCCAGTGCCTGACAACCCTTTCAGTGAAGAAATTTTTCCTAATTTTTTATTTAAATTTCCCCTGGCGCAACTTGAGGCCATTTTCTCTTGTCCTATCGCTTGTTGCTTGGGAAAGAAGAGACCAACACCCACCTCACTACAGCCTCCTGTCAGGCAGTTGTAGAGGGTGATAAGGTCTCCCCTCAGCCTCCTCTTCTCCAGGCTGAACAATCCCAGTTCCCTCAGCTGCTCCTCATCAGACTTGTGCTCCAGACCCCTCACCAGCTTTGTTGTCCTTCTCTGGACATGCTCCAGCACCTCAATGTCCTTCTTGTAGTCAGAGGCCCAAAACTGAACACAGTATTTGAGGTGCAGCCTCACCGATGCCGATTCAGTAGTCTTGGTTTGGTATTTCAACAGCAAAAATAATGTGATGTGCCTTCGACATTCAAGTCCCCATTAATTTGTATTTATTACTGGAAAGCTTTTCATTCCAACCAAAAGTCAGTCTCAGCTCGACTCCGTCTGCACTCTTCTTGAAGTGCCATGCAATACTACAGCTGAAGTATCATATTGCTTTAGCATGAGATGCTGTCAATAATGCCTCAAGTCAAACTCATAAGCAGCCTTCATAAAAAATTATTACTGCAGACTGTTACTATGAATGCTATGGTCTCCCATATTCCCTTTTCCTTCTCTCTAAGGCAATGATAAGAATCTGAAATAGAAAAGCACGATAATAAAACACATTACTCCACTAAGCGTAAGCTTTTTACCCTTATTT